ATGGAAATGGACGTAAATGCTCCGACACTAACGAGTGCAAAGATGCTGGTCATCTATGTAATGATCATGCTTACTGTCGTAACACTGTAGGGTCATACAGCTGCGTCTGTAAAACAGGATATGAGGGAAATGGTTGGGATTGCGAGGGTAAGCAATCTTTTATCAACTGAGTTATGGTCATATTCGTGGCCTTTTATACTCTCTTTATAATCTCCCTAAAAAGCATTGCCGTTATTCTGTGTAAGGCGATAGTTCATAGAGCTTCCATCAATGATCAATTGACGATATATTATATATATTCATAGTTCACCACTAAATTTTCTCCGGTTCTTATTGGTTTAATTTGGATATATCAACAAAGTTGAAATGGTAAATTGGCCACCGTAATGATTACAAAAGCTGACGTTTCGAGCGTTAGCCCTTCGTTCCGACGAAGGGCTAACGCTCGAAACGTCAGCTTTTGTAATCATTACGGTGGCCAATTTACCATTTCAACTTTGTTGATATATCCAAATTAAACCAATAAGAACCGGAGAAAATTTAGTGGTGAACTATGAATATATATAATATATCGTCAATTGATCATTGATGGAAGCTCTATGAACTATCGCCTTACACAGAATAACGGCAATGCTTTTTAGGGAGATTATAAAGAGAGTATAAAAGGCCACGAATATGACCATAACTCAGTTGATAAAAGATTGCTTACCCTCGCAATCCCAACCATTTCCCTCATATCCTGTTTTACAGACGCAGCTGTATGACCCTACAGTGTTACGACAGTAAGCATGATCATTACATAGATGACCAGCATCTTTGCACTCGTTAGTGTCGGAGCATTTACGTCCATTTCCATGGAAACCGTCTTTACATGAACATGTATAGGTACCCGCGCTGTTCTTACAAGTCGCATGAAAATCGCAAAAGTGAAACAATCCATTGCGACATTCGTCAACATCATGACACACTAGCCCATCTCCAGAAAACCCAGAATTGCAGTAACATTTGTAAGACCCTATGGTATTGGTGCATACCGCATTCTTGTCACACTTGTGAGTCCCGTAATTGCACTCATTGGCATCGTTGCACGCATGTCCATTGGTCTCAAACCCTGGGTGACAAATGCAATTATACGAGCCTACAGTGTTAATGCAGAACTCGTGATCACTGCAGTTATGCATATTTGTAATACACTCATCAACATCAAGGCATGATCGTTCATCTCTTCGGAATCCTGGACGACAAATACAATTATACGAGCCTACGGTGTTAACACAGAACTCGTGATCACTGCAGTTATGCATATTTGTAATACACTCATCAACATCAATGCATGATCGTTCATCTCCTCGGAATCCTGGGCGACAAATACAATTATACGAGCCTACGGTGTTAACACAGAACTCGTGATCACTGCAGTTATGCATATTTGTGATACACTCATCAACGTCAAGGCATGATCGTCCATCTCCATGGAATCCTGGCCGACAAATGCAATTATACGAGCCAACAGTGTTAATGCAGAACTCGTTATTACTGCAATTGTGCATATTTCTGTTACACTCATCAACGTCAAGGCATGATCGTCCATCCCCTCGGAATCCTGGGCGACAAATACAAATATACGAGCCAACAGTGTTAATGCACAACTCGTGATCACTGCAATTGTACATATTTGTGTTACACTCATCAACGTCAATGCATGATCGTGCATCTCCTCGGAATCCTGAAAGACAAATGCAATCGTGCGAGCCAACGGTGTTGCTGCAGTATGCATGAGCGCTCCAATTATGGATGTTATCAATGCACTCATCGATGTCTTGACATGACATTCCATCTCCTTGGAATCCCTCGAGACATAAGCAATTATAAGAGCCAACTGTGTTATTGCAAAATGCTCGATCGCTACAGTTCGTCGAACTGGTCTTGCACTCATCGACGTCTTTGCAAGACCAGCCGTCTCCGTGGAGTCCTGTCAGACAGCTACAATTGTGCGAGCCAAACAAATTTGTGCAAATTGCATGCTCACTACAATTGTGAGTCTCATTGATACACTCATCTATATCAGCACATGACAAGCCGTCCCCTTGGAAACCTTTGTTGCAAACACAATTTTGTTTATCCTCTGAGCAAGCGGCGTTGGAATCACAATTTCCCTGTCTGCAGCTAAGAATTGGCCTGGTCACATTTTGTTCATCTGTTTTGGCGGAGAAATAAGAAAAAGGATAAATAGTCACTGAGCCAAATCGTATGACACTGCGATTAATTTATTCATTCTTGCCGAGGTACGTACGGAATTGGCCGTAAGTCACTTCTCCAACTCATGGGTAGAAGAAAATACTCATCATGGCTTACCCTCATTGCAGTTTAGACCAGACTTGTTGTGTTTATCAAAATACCCACGCGAAGATGGGATAAGGAGTTTAAAATTGTAAATAACTTTAATATATGCTTAGCGAAGCATTTACGTGTCACTCTGCTCACCATCCAAAGGAATTTGATTTTCGATAAGTTAGTCACCGTTATAGTTGGTTTGGGAGCTGTTCATTCATTCAACTATGTAGTCCAACTATCGATCAAATGGAAAATATACAGACAAAGCAAATTTTAATTCTCCGTCAGGCTATATCCGACTAATTCGCTACCTAGTATCTGCCATCATTTGCAAATGACTATTGCATGTTTCGGCCATCCTTTCCCTAGCAAGTTAAACCCTTCTTTCAAGCTTACCTCCGCTAGACTTGATCAAAAGGCAAATTACAATCACGAGCAGAAAAATCGCAACCGGGACGCCATAAGCCATCGACAGATAGTTCTTCTTTGAAGCGCCTTTCTGCGGCCCAAGCTCTTCATATGGTATGTCACGGAAGCTCTGTTCGGGTTTTGACACTTTAAGTTGATGTGTCATAGTTATTCTTCTTTCTAAATTAACGTATTCAAATCACTTGAGAGTAAATTCAAGACAAATTTAAACACCGACGCTTTCAGAGTAAAACTTTTAGTCTGGTTGCACCCTGTTCAAAATTTCATTACCAGAATTTGTCCGGGGAAGCCCCTTCTAACCACGTGTAGAGGTCTGATTGGTTAATGCTGTGATGAGACTTTTTCGCATCACGCAAAACTTTGCGATAAACAGTTGTGTGAAGCGTGTGTGGCTTCGGGTTCCCCTGAGAATTATACCTCTACCTCTGGCACTCCACCACCCTTTCACTTCTCATGCGTTGAAGTGGCTATTTGTTTCCAAATTGCTAAGTAAAAGGCTAGCACTGCGGCAGAGTACACTTCTGGCGAGCAAATATCTTGCTTATTATCATAAAAGCAGAGTGAAATTGACCTTTACGGTAGTGTAGTTTGCTTTTAGTCACAGTTACAAATTGATCAACTTTTAGATTAGTTTAGATGCGTATAACCAGAAGGCTTCATTTTAGAGAGTAAAGCAATGAAACCGAGCAAGCCTCAACCATAAAGGGTTTTTCACTGTCCACAAAACAGCAACGATGTTGATCACCTTGTTACAAATTTCCCCTCTATTCAAGCATGAGCCGTCAAACACTTCGATAAAGTAAATAATCCATGCGTATGATTGCAATCATCACGCACTTAAGAATAGTTGTCCCTTCGTATCCTTCGAAAACTTTTGATTTCAGAATCCACCCAATCCTCGGTGCTCAGGCTTGAGGACAAAGAATGGTCTCATGCATGTCTTTTACAGCACAGGTCATAACTCGAGTTTGCTATTTAAGGTGAGGTATATCCCAAAACATGAAGCATTTTTTCTAGTTTCATTGTCATTAACTGTTCAGTTCAGTTCTTTCAGCGCAAAGTGTTTTTCACTCTTTGTTCCTTTTCTTTTAATTTATGATTTTGGCTTAGCAAAAGATTATAGAATAGATCATTTAAGCAATTTGTTGAGCCCTCTCGAGTCCTTCTTGTTAGCCAGCATGTTAAATTATTTTATAAAAAAATTGAGATAGTCACCGGCGTGTGCTCTCATTGGTCAATTGGTGAGTTTAGACGAGAGAGAGAGAGAGAGAGAGAGTGTGTGTGTGTGTGTGTGTGTGTGTGCGCGCACGCGCGTGTGGACACAGTTGTGACGTCACGCTTTTTGTGTTTACCGGCACAATTTAAAAACACAGTTCAAAGTCAAGGGTTTCGCGAGCTCCCACGACGAGATTGAGTTTGGGATTGGGAGAATGTTTGAAATTCATGCAAGCCTTTGAATGCGTCCCGGGTTTGTGCAACTTTCCTGAATTCTTCCAAACCACCCTCGTATGTAAATAAGGGTATGCAAGCGCAGAAAAAGTTCTCTACAGCTTAAATATTCGTCAATTACAAGACAAAAAGGCCACGAGAGTGAAGTTAATCTAGTAATAGCACTGTACAATTTTAAAAAATGTAAATGTAATTTTGATTAGCGGCGGTAACAGATCAACCATGCAGCGACAGTGATGAATAAATTTTTGCACAGCTTCGTCAACCAAAAACTAAACGTTTCTGTGCACCACTTTACATTTTTACTTACACTTCGATTTGGAAGAAGCTAAGTAGACTGGACAGAGGGGATTGTAAAATTTATCTTAGTTTTAACAGAACAGAACAGAACAAAACAGTATAACACATGGTTAAAGGATCATTATTTTCGCTGACGCACGATTAAGTGAGCGTGTTTTAAGTTGTT